CAAAAACTATTTTCTCAATGGACCTCACAGTAAATTTATTTTTAACAAAGAACCTGTCCATCCTTTTTCTTGTTAGTTTTATAATCCTCTTTCGCGCAGCCCTGTCCTCCCCAATGTTCCGAATTTTCACCAGGTACGCACACATAAAAGTGTCACTCACTGTAGGCATGTAGAAGGAGAAGCATTTAGTAACGCTCAACAACAAAATAATACCTCTGGCGCCTCTTTCGTCTCACCGCAATGTACACTTCTTTTGCTTATAATTTTTTCTTAGAATTTAATCGATGAAAAAAAAAACATTATAAATAGTTCTTTTTTTCATGTATGACTTGAGTAGAATAAACAACAAAAAACTTTGTTTGAAAGTAAAAATTAGGATGTATACATCTCGCATCTCGCACGTAAGCAAATTTGAAAATGAATAGTATATATTTATATGTGAAAATAAATAGGTTATTTTTTTTTTAAATCTTCCTCATATTCGCAACATACCAATGATTTGGTTGATTTCAGCATCATTAAAAAGAAAAATTATAATTTTTGGAAACAAAGGAAATTTGCCAAATGGAAAAGGCTCTTATTTTAATTCAATTCCAACTGCTGATTTTGAATTCAGGCTTGTCAATATTTGGGAAGAAATTTATATTAAAGAATCATTTGGAGGGGGCTAAAATGTCTTAAAGAACTTTTCTTCGCCACTTAATGCTTAGGGAGCACAATATCAGCATCAGTACCCTCTGTTTGGTAAAGGCCAAACTTTTTTGGGACCCTAAAGTGAGCGAGCCGGGGGAGCGGCCTCCGACAGATCCGTCAGGGTGGGAAGAGAGAGGGAAGAGGAGAAGCAAGAAAGATCCCCCATAAGCAGCAATGTTAAATTTGTAGTGGAAAAGTAGTGCAAAAGTAGTGTAAATCTTTTTCTGGGAGAATCAATTGTGAAAAATTGGTTGGGAGAAAAATAGGCACACAGTGCTAGTGAACAACTCACTGAAACTCATAGCCGAGTATTTACCAAGAGGCGATAAATACCCGACTACTCGCCGCACTGCAGCCTAAACTACGGGAAAAAAGAAGTTTAAATTTGTTTTACATGCTCTTTGCACAATTTCGGGAAATTATTAGACGCACACGATTTTAACACAGAAGGGAGGGAGTTCCATTGGGACGCGAGGCGAAAGGGAAATGAGTAGAGGCCGAGGTCGGTGCGCACTTTTGGAGGAATGAGTCGGTGGTGCTCTTCGTCACTGCTACTGTCTCTTATCTTTCGGCCAGTCTTTATTCGCGCCATCGCGTCCATGTCGGTGTCTCCGTCCAGACACTTTCGGAAGAAAGTCAAGTCGTTGTACTTCAGCTGCTGCTGGACGGTAAGCAGCTCGGTCTTGGCCGCCTCGGAAATGTGCCGCCCGTACACAAACCTAAGGGCTCTATTCTGAACTCTCTCAAATTTTAAAATATTTAACTGGATGGACGGGTGCCACGCAGGGGTCGCATAGAACATGAGCGGCTTGACCATTGTTTGGTAGGCAAGCCGCTTCACTCTCGGGGTGCAGCCGTGCAGGTTGCGGGCCGCAAAGGAGAGAACTTTGGCTGCCTTACCGCGGGCAATGTCCGTGTGCTTGTTCCACCGCAGGTCTCTGCTGATGTGCACGCCAAGGATTCGCTCCACGTCACTATACTTGATGATGGTGCCGCCGACGGTGTACGGCGTCTCAAGTAATGTTCTAGCGCGACTGATGTCGAGAATGTGGCACTTTGACGCGTTCAGCTCCATTCCGTTTACTGCACACCACGCATTGACAGCGTCCAGGTCGTCCTGCAGCTGGACAGAGTCAGCAGTCGTCTGAATTTCCCGCCAGATGGTGGCATCGTCGGCGTACTGGACGAGAGTTGATCGGACGGCGGAAGGCAGATCGGCAACATACACATTGAAGAGCAGGGGCCCCAGCACACTGCCTTGGACGACGCCGGACAACACTTCGCTCGGCTCGGATTTGGCGCCGTTGAAAACCACAAACTGCGAGCGGCCCTTCAAAAATGACTCCACCCACTGCAGAACTTTGCCCTCAACCCCGTAGTGGGACAGCTTGGACAGCAGCCGGTCGAATGGGACACGATCGAAGGCTTTTTTCCAATCTAAAGTTACGGCGTGGATGTGCGCGCCACTTTTTTGGTCGATAATTGCTGTCCAACTGTCCACAGTTTTGCACAACAGGGTTGTGCAGGACCTTTTGACCCTGAACCCGTGCTGGTTGTCGGGTATTACTTTATTTTCTTCGAAAAAAGACTGGAGCCGGTCACGAACGAGTTTTTCAAGTGTTTTTCCAACCAGAGAGGACATACTTATGGGGCGATAATTTTCCAGATCAGTTTTATCACCACCTTTTGGAATTGGTACGACAGCAGCAGTTTTCCACCCCTCAGGCAGCATGCCCTGCTGCAGCGAGAGGTTGAAGAGGCGAGAGAGACTCGGCGCGAGAGCGGCTGCACACTTTTTCAGCACGTTTGCTTGCACTCCGTCGGGGCCGGAGGTGGCGTTTGCCTTAATTTCTTGTAATTTGCGAAAAACACTCGCAGCACTGACTGACATCTCACTCAAAAGGGAGGGAGGGGGGCCGGGAGGTCGTCGCCGTACAAATGGGAAATAATTTGTGGTAGAGTTAAAATTTTTAACAAAAATTTCACTGAATGCAGCAGCCACTTTAGTGGGGTCAGTTATTTTTTGGCCATTCAACTCAAAGACACTTGCACTTGGAGAAATTTTACTTTTCGCTTTCACAAAGTTCCAGAAGAATTTGTTTCCACCGGCGCCGCGCCCCAAGTTCCACATGTAGTTATCACGAGCCAGGCGGGTTGCCTTTTGCGCCTGCTTTCTGGCCGCCAAATAATCATTCCTTGCAGGTTGCACTTTATTCCTCTGCCATTTTTCAAAAAGTTTATCTCGTTTAGCCATCAAAGAGCGGAGCTCTGAAGTCATCCAAGGCGCACTTGACTTGCGATTAGGCCGGGCCTTTCTCTTGGGGACTAGTTCGTGAAGCGTTTGCCAAAAAAGCTGCACCCAGTTATGCCATGCACGATCGACCGAAAGTCCCAAAACTTGAATATTTTCCAAATTTTCACTGAGCCTTAAATTTATCAAATTCCAGTCGGCGTTTTTGAAGTCAAGGTACTCCCGCACTCTAGTTGGTTCTTTTTGTTGCACCGCAAAGTCCAATTGTAAAGCATCGTGGTCGGACGTACCAGGAACCACTGAGGCACTAGAAATCAGGGTTGGGGCGTCAACAAGTGCCAAGTCAAGTATATTTGAGGTGGTCGCCGTCGTTCGCGTAGCGGATTTAATGAGCTGGCGGAAGGCGAGCTCGGAGAAAGTACTGAGAAATTCGGCCGCTGGAGCTTCTACCGCTCGCGGTGGATTTTGGAGCCAGTCGACACTGAGGTTGAAATCTCCGGTGAGCAAGCAAGCGTCAAAAAGATGTTTTGTTTCCGCAACTTTATCCAACGACGCAATCAATTTATCATTGTAGGCGGCGGGAGCACTGGGTTTGCGATAAGCCGAGCCGATCAGAATTTTCATATCGGAAACTTTTATTTCAACCCATACTATTTCCGCTCCAGCTTCTAAATTTTTTAATCGACGAGGTTGCAAGTATGGTCGTACGGCAATAAGAGTGCCACCAGAGGCACGCCGACAGTCGGTGCGGTCGTTGCGGAACACGACAAAGTCGGTTGGAATAATTTCATTGTCGCCGATGTCCGCTGTGAGCCAAGTCTCCGAAACGCAAATGATATCAGCTTCCGAGTGCTCAATAGCCGCAAGCGTATCAGCGCGCCGTTTTCTATTTGAGAGTGATCGAGCGTTGAAGGCGAAAAGCCGGGGCTGAGCACGATTTCTTGGTCGCGGACGGGTGGCAGGAGCAGCAGGTATAGGGTCGAGATCAATTAGCGAGTCGGAGAAGTTAGGCAACGAGCACGACCAGCACGTGTAGCCTCCCGCGCGAAATTTCTTTGTTTCTTTTGGTGTAAGTCGTAGGCAGGTTGAGTGATAGATGGCAGAACAATTGACGCAGGTGATTTTTATTTGATTCCGCCGACCCGGCCTGTCACAGAGGCGGCACATTTGAACAGGTCCGGGGTTCAAGGCCACCTGGCCGCTGAGCGAAATGCACATCAAGGTATGCCAGAATGCGTGCAATGCTGTTTTTTTCCGCATCAGCAGCCGTACAATTGCTTTATTAAAATAAACATCTCGACCTACTTGGGCGTTGCTCAGGGCGCTCCAGCAGGACAGCAGGCAGTCCTCTGAGACCTGCAGGGTGGTGAACCGGACATCGCCAGGGCCGGTCGTCCTCGGGGCATCTGAGCGGGACCACGGCAGGTGCAGAAGGGCAACGCAGACAAAGGCAAGCAGCACTCCAGTTCCACCAGTCATTTCGGTATTTTTAGATTTTTCAGTTCTCACCGGAGAGCAAGGGACGAACTACCCCGGTGGTTGCGTGGTGGGGCAATTCATAGGCCCCTCGGCCCTCCTGGTTTGTCTGTAACCTCAGATGTATGCGAAAGAAAGGTCAAAATCTGAGGAGCAAAACACCAGCGTGTGTTGTTGACTTACCAGTTCAAGGCCGTCCCCAAAATTATTTACATTAAAAATGTACTGGCTTGGTTTCATTTTTATTTCCATGGTAAGCATTAAAAAAAACGAGTCCAAGCATTATTTATGCAAAATGCAGTCTGACTAAATAGTTAAAAGTGGGCACGGCTCGGCGTGTTCGTTTGTTTCTATAAGAATGGTAATGATAAGAATACAGGATAATTATGAAGAAAGAAGGAGTCGAGTATCAATTTTTCCATTTTATATCGTTGTACCAGCGTAACACATTGGGAATAGGGAGGCGCCGCCCACAATCGTTTCTTTGCTGGCGGGTTGGATGGCGCCGGCGCACGTCCGTGGGCCGAGCCATTGGCAACGCCGCATTCGCTTCGGCTGACTCGCCGCCTCTATCCTGCCGGCTCGCGTGCGCCAATAGCGAGTGCTGCCTGGATCAAGGCCGCAGCGCAAACGCGTCTGGAATGCCGATCGGTGCTCGCTGCTCGCATTCCTGGCATTCCAATAACATGAGTCACCGCCGCCGCTCTCATGCCTCTCATTCATTATTGCGTGGGAGTGTGCCGAGGAAGAACGTTCTCCGGCCGTGCGCAAGTGGTCTTGTCCCGTGTCCCGAGGAGACCCGACCGATGTCCGCGGCAACTTCTCGTCCAACCGACCTGGCGGCCCTGGCGCCGGACACGTGCGGGGCGCCGCGGGCCGGACACCCGCGTCTTCCAACCGTTTGTGAAGAAAGGTATGTAGGTCTTTTGAAATTTATTTTGTATTTTGTTATTTCATTGGTAGGAGTAGTGCATCATCTCTCTTGGGCCCATCACTTTACAGGCAGTATCTTTTATGTGTTGAGAAATTCAAAATTCGCCCGATTCGCGGACCCCCGGGGACCCCGAACGCTGTTTTTATATATTTGAAATTTGTTTCCCCGGCTCCTGTCCCTAGTGAGGACGACGGCGCTAGCACATTCGATCCGCAATTTAATTTACTTTTTACACTTGGTCGTCCGTTCTTTGTCAGACCTTTCCTTCGCACCGGAAATTCAGGGTTTATTGGAGAATGGGCAAGCACACGCCGGCGGACGCCGCTCGCATTCCGGTGGCCCGATTTTTGTTTATGAAAAACCAAAATGAAGATTATTTTCGGACCGATTTTTCTTTTTTCTAGCGGTCGCCAAGTCCCGCCGCGGCCGAATTACCGATTTTTCGGCATAAATTCCGCATTATGGGATTTTACACGCGTTTCGTTCGGACCGAGGTGCATCGATCGCCGCGGGCCCTCGGCGGCTCCTCTCCGGCCCCCGGGCCCAAATTCTTCAGCCGCGGCTGAATTCGGCCTACCGCAGGTTAAAAAATGCATAAATGGAGAATTCCCGAGGACTTTTATTAAAAAAAGGCGCCTCCGAGTTTTGTGGGTCGCTTTGCTTTTTCCTATGCGAGAACGAAAAGCGCGCACACGCCGACGGCTCGAACTCGCGTTCGGGTGGCCCCATTTCGGATTTTTAAATACTCGGATGAAGCATATTCTCGGGCCAATTTTTCCAGGGGCCGCCTGGTCCGGCCGGGGCCAAATTGCCATATTTTTGAAAAGTTTTCAAAATAATCTTTTTGCGAGGCTTCTGCGATTTTACACGCGTGTTCGCTCGGAACGAGACGGACCATTTGACGCGGAATATTTTGTTAATTTTCATCATTCGCTTTCATAAATAAACTTGACTTCAACTTTCAACTATAGAAATATTTATATATTATACTTGTGGCAAAAATAAAATCTCTTTTATTTTTAAATCTTTTTCCATTATCCGAATTTTTTTCAGTTTTTTAATTTACGCAATTTTAAAATTATCCTCATTAAAAAAATTTTTCACATTTAATTCCTCAAAACATACCAATGCCAGTAACACTTAAAATTATTAAAGCCAGTATTATATTTGACTTGTCGCAAATTTTAACTTTTATAATTAAAAACTCTCCTTATTTGGAAGTTTTTTTAGATGCTTAATTTATGCAAATTTAACATTATCCCAATTAAAAGCATTTTTCACATTTAATATTTTGAAACTCTGAGTTAATTTGTTTTTTAAATTATAAAAGCCCGTATAATTTATATTTTACTTGAGGCAAATTTTAACACTTTTATAATAAAAACTCGTTTATTATTATTTTTTTTTAATTTCTTAATTTATGCTGTTATAATATTAATCTTAATGAAAGCATTTTTCACATTTTAAACCGCGCAACACAAAATTAATGAAGTCATTTTGATGGCGCGTTGGCTGGCGCCGGCGCTAACGTTCTCCGGCCGTGCGCAAGTGATCTCGTCCCGTATTACCCACGAGACGTGATCGATGTCCGCCGCGACTTCTCGTCCGACCGCCCTGGCGCCGGACACGTGCAGGGCGCCGCGGGCCGGACACCCGCGCCGTCCAACCGTTTGTGAAGAAAGGTAATTTTTTTTTTTTAGGAAAATATATTTATTTTTTTTAAAAGATACAAGTCCAGCCAAGCTCGAAAGCGTATCGGCTATGGTGCTCATGTTAACTGACGAGCAATTAGCTCGCCAGCTATACAACTTACATAATATGCACAGAATTATTACAAAAAAGTGCGTCACAATTTATGGACAAGAACAATTTTTTTATTTTTAATTTCACTTATATTTACTTTGCAAATTTTTTTATTCAAGAGGCAATAAATTCCACAAGGGTGGCAAAATGAAATGAGAATTTCAATCGTAATTATTAAGGAAATTATGTATTTCGTCGGTTATCATCTCTTTTCGGCCCACTACTTTAAAGGAAATATTATCTTCTGAAATACATATTAATCCGCCCGATTTGCGGCCCACTCGGGGGCCCCAAACGCACTTTTTATTTTGAAATTTGTTTCCCTGGCTCCTACACTAGCGATATCAACGCCGCTAGCACCATTCGATCTGGAATTTAATGTACTTTTTGCGTGGTTGTCCGATTTTCGTTTATTATAAACCGAAATCAAGGATATTTTTGCGCCAATTTTACCAGAGCGTTCCGAGGCAGGTTTAAATAAAAAATGAATTCAAAAATTGGTCCGAGGCTTTCCATAAAATCAAGATCACAAAGATACTTTGTCTCGTTGTGATTAGCAATTTTTCATTTGAATCGCCAATCCATTTTATTTCATCAAATTTATTGATTATTAAAATTAACTCTATTTTGTAAACATTTTCTTTTCATCTTATTTTATTAATGTGCCAATAAAGAAGAAGTGAATTTTTAGATTAGAGTATTTATTAAACACACCATTAGGTGTACAACAGGAGTTCACATTAATTAAATCTACCTTTGAATAAATGCATTCATATATTCATAAAAATATTACAAAATATTGCACCATTTCATTGGAAAACTATAAGTAAAATCCCGTTTGAAATTATTGAAACTTTGAGCTCTCATTTGAAATTAAATTCCTCTTAAATATATTTCATTAAATTGGCGTTCTGAGACAGCCCTCGGCGTTTGGCAATACGATCTTCTTAAATACATATTAATCCGCCTAATTCGCGACCCCCGGGGACCCCAAACGCATTTTTTATTTTGAAATTTGTTTCCCGGGCGCCTATACCCTAGCGAGAAAAATGGCGCCAACACCATTCGATCTGGAATTTAATTTACTTTTTTGCGTGCTCGTCCGTTTTTCGCTCAGACCTTATTTCCTTCGCACCTGAAATTCAGGGTTTATGGGAGAATGGGCAAGCACACGCCGGCGGCTCTGACTCGTGTTCCGGTGGCCCGATTTTGGATTTCAAATACCATAATGAAATTTATTTTCGGGCCAATTTTTGCAGGGTTCGGCCGGAATGCCAAATTTTTGGACATGCAATTTGGCTTACGGGATTTTACACGCGCGTGTTCGCTCGGAACGAGACGGATCATTCGACGCAGGCCCCTGGCGGCCCCCCGCCGACCCCCGGGCCGACACTCGATTTGAATTCGGCCGACTGCGGTTGGAAGAGGCATGAATCGAGAGTATACTTTACTTGTGGCGAATTGCTAAACAAATTTAATTATTAATAATTCATTTTTGTATTCTGAAATTATTTGTTACTTCTTCATGTGTGCAATTTTTAACATTATTCACATCAGCCCCATTTTAGCACGATTCTATCTTTTTGATCAGCGTTCGGAATAAAAAATGTTGGAAAAACAAAAAAATTGAAGGGTTTTGATAGAATCACTATTTAAGATTTTACAAAATGTCCAAAAATGGCCACCGGTTTCCCTTTGTATGATATGACTTGTTATTTATTTATTTATTTTTTGGTTTTGGGTCAGGCCAAGAGAAAGTGCTCTTATATGAGCTTGCAGAAGGCAAGCTCTTCCTTTTTTATTGTGTAATTTTCTTAGGCTGGGTACGAATCAGGAAACCGTTTACGAAACCCGGTTTCGTCGCTCAAATTTTGCATGTATTATATAATTTTAATGAAATAGGGGATTCAGTTAAATTTATGATTATGGCTAGTTTCCGATTCACCAAAATGGACTTACAAATTACGAGTGCTAACTTTTACATCAATTAAGTTAATTGGGTAATAAGGGTGAGCAGGGGTGAATTTCTGGAAACTAATTGAACGTCAAGTGCGTAACATTATTTTAGGCTAAAATTTTGTGAGGAAATCAATGGAGTATTTGATTTGAATGAAAAATCTTAATTTCAACCCTTAATTAGTAATTAACTAAAATACAAACAAATTGAAGTACACTACATGATTCTAGGGTAAAATTTGAAGCCCAAGCGATTGCCAGTGTTAATTTTGCGCTTTTAATTTAATTTCAACCCCTGATTTTAAATTTCAAGAAATTAACTGTAATTTTAGAGCGAGACATTTGTAAATGGTAAAATTTAAAGCCAGATCGATTGCCAGATGTTATTTTAGTCTATTAATTAAATTAATTAATTAATTCCTCACAAAATTTTAGCCTAAAATCATGTTACGCACTTGATGTTCAATTAGTTTCCAGAAATTCACCCCTGCTCACCCCTATTACCCAATTAACTTAATTGATGTAAAAGTTAGCACTCGTAATTTTTTGGTGAATCGGAAACTAGCCATAATCATAAATTAAACTGAATCCCCTATTTCATTGAAATTATAATACATGCAAAATTTGAGCGACGAAACCGGGTTTCGTAAACGGTTTCCCGAATTCGTACCCAGCCTTATTATTATCATGAGCACCATATATTTATATCTTCCTTGGGCATTTTACGGCATTACGCTGAACCGAAATTTTAAACGCACGAAATAATTCCATGTCTTTTGTTTCAGACGCGCGACGAGTGGGAAACTGAACCGGCCCCGGCGAGAAGTATCGCACTCATGGTGAGTACAAAAAGCTTCTTTTTTGCAGGCAACATTTTTGTCCATTTGAAATATTAAATTTCGAGAGCCATTTAAGTGCGTGCAGCGTTTGGGATTTTATAACTTTGAAACCTAACCCCATGACTTGCCGCATATTTAATTTTATATCAACAACAACTCATGCCGCGTATACAATAACAAAAAGATTTATCGCCAAAGACAAGGAATCGAATTAACTTTGATTTTGAAGGATCATGAGACCAAAAGTGAGAGAAAAACCTCTGTTCCTCGCCGCATCAGTATTCTTGTTTGATAAAAACATGTTTTTTTTCTTATATAAAAAAATAATAGTTTTTTTTTTCATCAAGGAGAGGATCAGAATACTTTTTGCTTGTTCTGCGATTACTTTCTCGAGTTGATAACATGCAGCAGTTTTAAATGAACAACGCCGCACTGCGTCAACGCTTTGAAAATTCCAAAAGTTACGCTGAGAAGAGCGAAAATTGCAGATTTATACAAATTAACTCGCGCAAGTCGCGCACGTTTTGCGGCGACAGCTCGTGGGCATTGTGGGCCGTTGTTACATGAAAGAATGTTATTTTCACGGAGTAATTGGGCAAAACGTGCACTTTTGATGTTTCCACGCGTCCTGTCGCTGCAGTGCGCGATGGAAGAGGCAAGTTTTGTTGCTTGGAAAATTTGTGCCCTCGTCAACCTTTGTGCCTGTGCCGCATTGTTGCATATCGACCGTTCTCCCCTCTCTAAATTTAAAACGACCCGATTGTGTTCTCTGAATCACGGTAAATTCCTTTTCTTTGCCAAAAGACGAGTTCCACTTTCGCATTTTGATTCTTTTTGTTGACTTTTGTTCAGTTTCAATTGAACTTCAATTTTTTATTCACTGGTAAACGTGAATGTCAAAAAGGCAAGTATTACATTTGTATAGAATCGATTGGCAGCCAATCCTAGTTACAAAAACCCAAGGATCTTTCATTTATAAATAAAAGATCCTTGCAAGAACCCATAAGACCAAGAATGGAAACCTAATCGCCTAAGTTGGGCCGATAAGTAAAAGTTACAAAAAGCTGAGAAATAGTGGAACAACTATTTTGTTACGCAACGCGCAAAAGTAATGGGGAAATTGATTTGCAGTTTGAATTCCAAACAAAATGCGACTTTTAATATCTTCCAATATTTTTAAGCCATTGAAAGTCAACACAAATTTTGTATATTTCGTTTTCTCAATTGTTGTACCGAATTTTTGTGCTCATTCTTTGCTATAACAATGGCGGAGAACTGAAAAAAACGCGCGGCAATCGCACAATTTCGTCGCTCCGCGTTAAAAATATTTATTAATTTTGATCGAATTATTGGTGATTGTGAGGTGTTAACAGCAATTTTTTGGCCTCGATAAATTTCAACAAATCAAAAAAAATTTATTAAAATAGGAAATACAAACGAAAAAACGCGCGGAACCTGTACCTCGCAGCATCAAATTTTTTTGACAGCAGTTTGATCTTCAGAGGCAAATGCTAAGCAAAAGTGTCTTTTAGCATCACCATCTTTTCTCTCTCTAAGTGAAACATATTTTCCGATGATTGTATTTTTTTAATATGCATCATTCTCTATATATCATAATAAAAAAACTTCATCTTTCAACTTGCCTGTTTTTTATAACGAATTAATAGAGACCAAAATGGAAAGATAATTTCTCTATGAAAACTAATTGTTAATTTATAATTCCTAAAAATATAATCACAGATCTGACATAAAGAGCAGAGACGAGATAAACGAATTATGGTCCTGCGGTTTAGAACAAAAGAGCGTTAATCTGAAGTAAATTATGTTTCGAATTGATTTTTTTCATTCTAAGACCACGTCATCCCTTTGAATTATTAAAGCCAGTAATATTTATATTTTACTTGCAGCTAATTTTTAAACACCTTCTCTAAGAATGACTCGTTATATCCGGAAGTTTTTTTTCTTAATTGATGCAATTGTACCATTATTCTAATTATAAGCATTTTTCACATTTAAAATTTCAAAACGCCAAATTAAAAAGTATTTTCAGCTTTTTCTGTAATTTTATGTATGGTTTTTTTTGCTGTATTCATGACTCATGACTGTATCGAATGGAGAATAAATGAGTAAATAAAAAAACGCCAAATTAAGTCGTTTTTTAAATAATTAAGTCAGTTATATTTTTATGTTGCTTGTCGAAAATTGAAACACTTTTTAATTATTAAAAATTCGCTTTCGGATTTTTTTTTTAGTTTCTTAATTTATGCAGATTTAACATAAATATTATTGAAAGTATATTGCTCATTTAAAACGTTGAAACGCCAAATCAAGTCATTACGTTAAATTGTTAAAGCCAGTAATATTTATATTTCACTTGTGGCAAATTTTTTAACACTTTTATTATTGAAAAACTCGTTTTATTTGGGAGTTACTTTACTTTCTTAATTAATGCAATTTGAACTTTTAACAATTTTTGCAACGAGGAAAAGCCCGATCTCTTCATTTCTATGAACTTTTAACATTTATTTTCTCGGAACGCCAATTTCAGTCAACGCTTTAAATTATTAAAGCCAATATTATTTATATTGTACTTCTGGAAAATTTAAACATTTGTATCATTAACTACTCGCTTTATGCAGAAGTTTATATAATTTATTAATGAATGCTCTTTTTACATTAATGGAATTGAAAGAATTTTGCAAATTTTATTATTCAAAAGCAAGATAAAGTCGTTCTTTAAATCATTAAGGTCAGTATTTTATATCATTTTATATTTTGCTTATTATTATTATTATTTAATACACACTTTATTTTGCAATTTTTCTAAATTCTTAATTTATGCAATTTTTACTTTATTTCCTCGAAACGCCAGATCAAGTAATGTTACTCTAAATTTTTGAAGCCAGTAATATTTATATTTTACGTTTGGCAAATTCAAACAATTTTATTATTAAAAACTCGCTTTAATCGGATGTTTTTTCAGTTTCTTATTTAATGCTATTTAAAAATTATCGTTATTAATAGCATTTTCCACATTTAATTCATCGAAATGCCAAATCAAGTCATTACTTTCAAATATTAAAGCCAGTTATATTTATATATTAATAGATTTTATGCAGTAAAGCACTTTTTATTTAAAACCGCCACACTTTTGGAAAGGGTCAACCGATTTGAATAAATTTGGCAGGTTGATTGCTCTTAGGGTGTAGACAAATAGTTTAGAAGGATTTTTGAAAATTCTCAAAATTGCCTATTTTACAGGGGTTCAAAGTTGCTGATTTTGAAAAAAGGTGTTTTCGTAAATCGAAAATATCTCATCACCTGGTGCAGATAGCACGTATGAGTGTATTAGCAAATTTGTTCGGAATTAAATGCCCTACAACTTTGCGATAGTGACCTAGGTCAAAGGTCAAATCCGAAGGTCACTTTTTCTTAGCTCAATTATTTGAGTCGCTACCAAAGAAGGCAACAAATTTTTTTGATTCCAAAATAGCCCAAAGTTGCTGCAGTTAGTAATGAACAATATATTGAAAATTGGTGATACTTTTTTTTCATTTTCGAGATATTCGGGATCAAAGAGCAAAAAACGCGGTTTTCTTGAGCATTTTTTTGTGGAAAATTCACTTTCAACCTCTGTAACGTTTTTCCTGTTAGAGTGACGACCAAATGTATAATGACAAAAATTGATTGCCTTGGCTTAATCTTTCAGACCATGTATTAAACATGGTCAAAAGTTATCAATGATTTTCATATAACTTTTTCATCATATTCGAACTTTTGCCATACAAAATCATTGATAACTTCATTTCTCTTGATGCTACAACAAAAATCCGGATATCAAAATGTTCCTCCTGACGTCCGCTTTCCATCCATGTGTCACACACGTAAAAGATTTCCAAAAAGGTCACAGGTCACCGGGGTGCGAATTTCCGAAAGCTATTTCAGTAGGGCGCATTGTGTGGATTTCGCGCTGAAATTCAAAATTTCGCCAATCAAAAGCCCTGTTTGCAGGCAAGTAGTTTGGAGGGCAGGCAACTTGCCCCTCCTACCCCTCATTGAACATCAGTTGATGCAAATCAACAACACTGGGAAAATAATGAAGTCCTCAAACCTGTGATATTAGTTTCGTGATTTAAAATTTGAATGTTGCTACGCCAATACTAAGTAAGTAATGCTGAGCATTGGTTCCTTTTTTTTACGACAATTAGCTGTGGTGTATGGATTACATATTTTTCAAAGAAAGAATCATACATTTATTATAAATTCAATTTATTTGAATCAGATCAATTTTTACTGATATTGAAAAGCTACAATTTGTAATGAAATATGTTTTATACATCAAGTCGTTGATGTTTAAATTTACAGTTTTTTTTTTTTGTGAATTGAAAAAAATAACATTTGTAGTGGCACTAGTGAGATTTGGCATTTGCAACATTTTCACGGACAGCTTGGCTTAAGTTTCTCTTTCTTTTAGGCTGAGTGAGGGTACAAGGCTACCTAGGACAACAGTTGTAAATTTTGAAATGAAAATTTTCTATAGAAAAAGGGGCCAATTTTGATGAGTTTCCAAAAGAAATTTGTGCGCGCAAACGTTCCGAAAGTAAAAAAATCGTGAAATTAAATTTGAAAATTCCCATTGTTATTTGCCATATGCACAGCACTGAGGCTGCGTGTGCGATGCCTGGCGGATGAAAGACGAATTAAAGAGCAAGGACGTCGCATTTAAAGGGACGATTTTACGAAAATATCGATTTGTGAATCCCGAAAATATTTCCAAAATTAAGGGTGACGGCCAAAAAAGCAGCATAATTTACCGCACAATTTGAAGCTAAAAAAAGAGGATACACTTCAGCTCAGGGTCGCTAGGTACATCAAATCAGATTTTTTTTTAATAAAAAGTACAAATATCTATGTTTCTATTGCTTACAAGTCCGTTTGCAGACAACTCCTTTTGTGGGCAACTACGTTGTGGGTTTGCGAGCTTCGGGCTGGAGGCGCGCTCGCCCGAGGACGTGGTGAAGGCCGGCTCCGGGCGGGACAAAAGGGCGGGGATCGTGGGGGGCTCCTGCGGAGCCCCCCCACGAACACAGCCGCCCTTTTGTCCTCGCCCTCCGCACGGCCTTCCCCACGTCCTCGACCTCGCTGCGCCTCCACCCCTCGCTCGCGGCTTCTGCAAAAATTAATCTTGGGGGTTGCCCAACTCCGAGTTGCCGGTTTGTGGGGTGGTCTGGTTCGTGGTGTGCGTGCAATTTCCCCTCATGTGGGAGTTTTGCAAAAATCAATTAATTCAAAATTCAATCAGGATTGTAGAGTACCCAAAAATATCGCCCTTAAATGCCTTAAATCGATAAAATTGTCCCATTTTTATGCTAGTTCATTAATACACTACATGTGGCGTGACGGTTTTTTAAGAGGAAACTCCCGTCTAGGTGGCGTTTTTACATCTGTATGCATTAAAAGTAGTTAATAAACGCCTAATTTTATTTCAACTCTCATTACTTCCCATTTCATTTGCGCCGGCTTTTCCTTATGGAGAAATGTTCAGCACACTATGAGGAATGTTTTGATACAAAAAATTTCATATTGACAACTGTTGTCCTCAATGAACTTTTGCCCCGAGTGACTGCAGACGTTTTCTTCACTTTCTCGGCTGGAGCTTTTTTTTCTGGAGCTTTCCTCCCTTTGAATGATGGAGCCTTCTTTGGTGGTGCCTCATCTGCTGCTGGGTGCTGCTGAAGTTTAGCTGGACGACCTAAAGGGACTCGAGCAGCGCCCTTGGAGACCCCATCTCGCCTTCTTGCTCGCCCAGTTGTTTGGATCGGAATTCGTCCGCTTCTAGAGCAGACGGAAGCAATTTGCCTGTAGATGGCCACAATGGAGGCTGTGGCAGCAGGTGGGTTTTTAGGTTTGTTCAGAGACCTATTTAATCTTTGTAGCAATTCATTGGACACGTCAGATTTTGCCAAATCGAGTAAGTTGGCAAATGATTCCTTGCACTCTTTTACCAAGTCCTCCTTGTCAGCCTCTTCGAAAGGGTTAATATCTTGATGCTCCATTTCGACATCGCACTCATCAAGGTCCATTTGAAAATCTGTTTCTATCTCACAAGATTTCTCTATCTCTGCCATATAAATTAGTTATTTTTTATTCATATATTTATTGCTCTTACAAACCATTATCATGTGGGTCTGTTTCAGTTGGAGCAGCTTCAGTGCGTCCGAGAAAGAATTTCAACTCGGGACACTTGCTGCTGAGGGCCAACCGTGCAATTTCCAATCGGTCACCGCTGAGAAGTGGAGGTGCCGAAGGCAGGGAAATGTTAAAGTGCTTGACAAGCAAAGCTTGGTGTTTACAGAATGCACCACCCTCTCCAACTGGACAGGAGCAAACACCGAGCTTGGGTAGGACTTCATAGAAGGTGCCTGTAATTTTTTATTGTATTTGAGAGAAACTCAAGAGAAAAAAGCGTGCCATTAATTTACTTTTCATAAACTTTTACCAAGCCTTTACGAAACCATTCCTTACTTATGCACAGGGAAGCCTTTACGAAACCATTAGGACACCATTATTTTGAAAAATTAATGGCTTCTTACAGGTATGAAAGTGTCTCGTTTGTTTAAATTGTGAAGCCTTTCAGCAACCTTTCCGATACCTTTACTCTACTCTTACAAGCCCTTTCTATGAATGCCGCTTGCAACCTTTTGTAAAGCCTTTCTGCTACCTTTCCGAAACCTTTCAGACGGCGGCCAGTTTGACGTCACAAGCATATGACGTCACTAGCATATGACGTCACTAAAATATGACGTCATCCAGGTTTTTTTTATGACGTAATTAATTAAATGCGCTGCTAATTTCATTAATTTTCGTTTTATTTCAATACAATTGCATCAAATATTTTTGTCAATACAGAAAATTATTACTCGTATGAGACGTATGAAAGGAAATCTTTTTTACTACAAAATTCTTCGTTAAGAGCTTTACATCAGGTGAAAATGGTTAATAAACCAGTGATTATTAAATATTACAGGTTACATTTAGCTGTTTAAAAAAAAATGGAACTCATATCATATCACAAAAATTTTACACCTACTTTCAATAGGTTCCAGAAGAATTGCATAGTTAATGTTTTCAATATTTCAAGGAAGTCAGCAGAAGTCAGTTGAAAAATTGATCTTCCAATACAATTGAATTGAAATATATTCCAATAAGGTTGATTCAGGTTACATAATATTTATAATCAATGTTTGAAACCATTTCGTTACATAATACGTATAATTTTATAATAAACAATATAATGTTTCTTAATTACATGGAAATTTTTATGAAAGCAGGTTCATTAATTTTGGGAAAAATTCAAGGCATTTTATCATATTTCAATGTAAAATTTTTTCCTAATAATACAATATAATACATAAATAAACACAGTTTGCAACTAATAAGAATTTCAGAATTTGACTCTGTGCTTCTGAAGTAATATTAAACAGACAATTTATTCTACTGTTTTCAACACATTAAAGTACTAAATTAATTATTAATGAAACTACTACTTCTAGTTTGAATAAAAATTATGTCGCAACACTCCGGCCATTTCCTCTATCAAAATTCAATTATTATCATTTAGGACAATGTAGAAGTTTTTTAAGAAACCCTTGTGGGATGCAGGCCAGCGAACATTAACTAAAAATAATTACATTTTAACAAGCAGGCAAGCAGTCATTCAGTAAAAAAATATTTTGATCAAGCGCCAACTTTAAAAATGCTGACCTAGGTAGCATTCAGGCAAGGTAAAAGTCTGTATTATAATAATAATAATAAAGGGTCCACCAAGGCAGTTCAGAAAATCTGTTAGTTTTAAGTCTGCAATTCTTAATCATATAGTTCTTATTCTAATGACATAACAGATTGCGGTAGTAAAATGTGCAAAAAATGTGCTCCATTTTTATGGATTTGATCATGGATATCGTGTTGTTACATTACTGTAAGACAGATGGAATGACGACTAAAATTTTTGAAAACATTTTATGTGTTTGAAATTGCAGACAACAATTAATGTCAAAATTAACAAGTTACAGATGTTTTTCAAGTAGATTATATTCAGAGCACACAATATTCAATTAACTTTTTATTGTAAATGGCTGGATAGTTATTATTCCAGAAAGTTTAACTTCTCTGATAATTCTTTCAAGATAATTATTCACATTTCCAAGGATTACATTTTAAATTGCATTACTGGGAGTGCATGAGTTTTAGTTATTTTTTTCTTCAATTCATTTTGCTCATATTATGGAATGATCTGTTATAATTTGGAGATTTTGTTATAAAAGTAAATAACTTTTTGCTTCTTATTTCAAAGTGTGTCCTTCTCTTGACCGAAAAGCTCTCTGTTAACCAAGCTGCAAAATATAAATAAATTAAATATTTTGGTAATATAATTGAGTAAAAGAAACACTCACTTCACTCTCCTACGTGCATTGTGCTTAGAATTGCATCCCGCATCATTAAATATTTTTGCAATGTTGAGATGTTCCTTTCCGAGAAATGGTATCTGGTACTCTTTGGCGTATTTCATGATTAATACTGAAAAAATAATCTTTTCTTTTATACAGTCAATTGAAAAGCCAATATCTTTGCATACATGTATAAATTCTTTAGGGAGATAAAAAAATTAACATTGTCAAGGCTGGCCAAGGCAAATTTGATCTGCCTGCTCCTCTTCTTTGGTATAGTAAACCAGAACTTATGCTGATGGCCAAGTCAACTTGGCGTATGGGTTTTAGATAAGGCCGTGTTAATCTTTTGGATATCCCTGATATTTGTACATAGTATGCGAATGAAAGGATTTGTTTCAAATAGTTAGTCAGTGGCCGAACTTAAAAAACTGACGTCTACAAAAGTTTAAAAGATATAATATAAAACCAAGGGAAATAAAATACTAACACTTTAGTGAGAAGAGAACATTTTTGTGATGCTGGCTGAGCGCCTCGCGTGAGCCTTTCCGACTGCCATTGTAACTGTAATTCAAAAGCGTACTGGTACCCAAAAGCTGGATAATTCCAGCTCTGAATGCTGCAGTTACTGGGTGAGGAACATTTCGAATTTTTCCATCTTTTTTCAATATCTCTGCCCATTCTTTTTGTCCAATCAGTCCTAAAGCCTCAGCTTTCTCGTGGAGCAAAACTTTTAAATTGAGTACGATGGGCCTAGGCAACTCAATCAAGCTTTGAGATGTTTCAATCTGTTAAAAGAGAAATGAATTAGTGCTAAGATTGTATTTTATCAAATTGCCAAAATGCTTTAAGTGGGCAATTCAAAGCCTACTTCAACCTGAAACTTAAATCGCCAGCAAAGTTTTGCCTCTTGACTTTGACACTCGGACGCATAGCTAGAGAGCACGGTGAGCCAAAGTAAAGAAGCATATTAACTTGGCCGTCGGGTCAAGTAGGCTTAGACTTGGTTAGGCATTTGGATCGCCCTAAATATTTTAATAAACTGTGACTAACCATGTTAATCTTATTACTTTTTTCAATTAAAAAAAATTGACTTCATTAATTTTTAATAATTGATAATAATTTTATCAAAATTTTATTTTTTCTCCTGAATGAACAAAGAAGTGGAGTAAACTTAAAATGAATGATCTTTTATAAAAGTTCATTGGTTTAGCTCATGTAACTGGACGCACAGGAAAATATTCAACATTTGCCTTGCCAATTTATGTGTTTATTATTATTTATAAATAAACGAAACATATTATTATTTTATTAAACCGATGAACTGCTCTTTTTCCTCAAAGTGGATATTAGCATTGCGCATCGTGTAGAAAGAGTGTGACCGAATTAGATACAGAAGTCCTTTTGCGGGTCGCTTGGGCGTAGGTGCTGGAGGTGCATTTCGTCTAGCTTCAGACTCACTGTCACTTAGTCCTCCAGAATTCAACAACGTTGATAATTCGTCCTTGCTCATAACTGATTGCATTGTGGAAACGGTGGATGCTGCAAACTTGTGTCACACTCGGCAGTCTCGTCTCAACACATTCGCACCCTGTTTGCGTTTGCTCGCTGCCTCCCTCGCTCCTCGCTGCCTGCTGCTGCTCTTGGCTGCTGTGGGAGCCAGTGAGCAGCGCAGACCTTTTCCCTGAATAAGGGGAGGAGGGAAAAGGGAAAAGGAGGGAAATAATTCGGGACCACTTTTCCATTAATTGCTAATAACACGCAGTCAATATTAGCATTTAAATAAATCGATGACTTTTATTCACCATATATAAATATTGTTTTGGTTTTTACATAAGTGGGTTCTAACAATGAAACCTGGCTGCAACGATTTAAGAGAAAGAAAAAAAACTAAATTTCCCCCATAAGCTAACTGACTGAAGCAACGGTAAAATTCTATTTAATAGTTGTAAAATACTTATTACATTCCGTTTTGGCCTCTTCCATTGCTGCGCGCAATCAAGCTTGAAAAATAGTAATAGGATATAATTATTTCCACCTCCAATAAATTGGCTAAAAAAAGTGAGAACAGCGAAAAATTTAATGCGTTACTCGCCGATGCCTTCATGATAACTAAAACCCCAAAAAACGTTAGCATGCGGCTGTACAATTTTTACTGGAAAAAAAGCAATGCATTATTATGAACAACAAATTATTTTATTTAATTTCTTAATCTTTATTTAAAAACAAGCAAAAATTATATCCTCAAGATAATATCCCTGCAGAATTTGTTATAAAATAATGTCCTACGGAAAATGTAATAAAAAGAAGAAGAATCGATGTCTTAAATTTTTTATCATAAATGCAATCAAATTTTTTTTAGTTGGGTTAGGAGTGAGCGAGGTCTTCAGAAACTCAGACGTGTTGTTGCCTGTATGTCGCCAAAGGGATTAAATTATTCCGAATGACAGACCAGAACATTCAATACACCAGAGTAGGTGAACGCACTCTTTCAGAAATGCAGGAGGGATGTAAGCATAGAGAGCCTTTCTTCTCACGCCAGTTTGACTACCTGCGTTTCTGAGAATGAGCATTGAAAAACAAGTTGAGATGAAAAACCAAACAACGCTTGAAAAATTGCCAAGGAAACAAAATAATCATAATTTTCCATTGCAAAGAATTATATAAAATCTTTTTACCTAGGGTCTCTATGGTTGCAAATTGAGTTATATCGCACACAGGCAATCACTGCCCATAACGCGATTCATATAATTTCAAAGAAAATACATTGTAATCTGAGATGAAACAGAAAAAAGATACAAACAAATTGTGCTATAAGAGCAAACGTATTTTCAAAATTGAATTATGATTTTTTTTTTAAATTAACCAATTGTTAACTATTGAAGTTAAGGATTTTGCATTGATCCAAATTTTTGAAAAATTAGTGATTGTTTTGTGTTACTTCCATCCAAGTTATGACCTGGATGAATTCTCAGATAACTTAGAAATGACTCTACTGAAAATTAGAAATTGTAATAATAAACCAGTTCTGCTTCTCGGGGATTTCAACTATCGTGTTGAAAAATTAACCACAAATTATGATTGCAAAACTAAGTACTTAACCGAAAAAATGGAGAAAAATGGATTCTCATTGTTCAATGATCTAAATTTGCCAACACACGGTCACCCGGGTTGGAGAGGCAGTGTAATTGATCTGATCTTTGCTAACCACTTTGTCTCTAAAAAAGAATTTCAAGTGAAAGGAGAAATAGAAAAGAAACACCACCCGGTGACATGTGCCGCCTCAATTTCCAACTCTACTTCACAGCAACCAAAAATCTCTGAAAATAAAGCAAAACCAGTATATAAAA